AAAACAGATTGAAGGGAACAATGACATTTATTTAGGTTTGTTTTTTGTGAGCTTCTCAGGCTCACAAAATATACTTTATATACTTCTTGTATATACTTTTTATCATTTGGAATATGTATATACTTTTTATCATTTTGAATAAGAGGGGAGAACTTGGACGCGAGCCTCTTTCCTGTAAATATATTAATGCAATAAGTTTCCAGCTGAGTACAGCGTGCAAATCAACATTCATTTAATCACAAGGACAAAGGGCAGGCAGAAACGACAAAAGGTCGCTATGAAGAAATTTTGTGTAGTGTCTTTCTTATAAAAATAGTGTGTGAGAAATTAAATGTACCATTTACAGCTGCCTTTGGACAACTGTGAACTAATGGAGAGCTTAAAACCAAAATAATAATTATATCCTTGATTAGCATTAGATGTAATGATTAAATCTCTAAACTCAGTCATGTTTTAATTTTATTACATCTTGTTTTCATAATGAAAGATCTTTATACAGAGCCCCTGTACAGATTATGTAATTATCACTATTAAAAGGCAGTGATGCTAATTTTGTTAGAGACCCACTCAACTTTGAATTACCCGCGGAGCTGTGGAAGCTGCTATTTATGGAACCGTTTGCCTTAACCAGCCTCGGCTACAAATGAGTTGTGATACCGCTCTGAATCTGTGCCCCTTGGTGCCCTCTGAAGGCAGGAAGGGAGTGGGCAGCGGCTGCCCGACCTCGTAGTTCCCCATCCCTCGTTGCCCTCATTGCCTCTGCTTTGGGGTTGAGGCAGAGCAGATGTCTCCAGAGGTACCATCCAGCCTCAGTTGCTGAGCGATTCTAGGGTAGGCAACTGGCTCCTTAGTCCCTTTTCTTGCATAAACCTGTATTAGTGGCTGCACAGTCTTGACAAGACATCTGTTTATCAGAAAACATCCATTATTCTCAGAAGTTTAGCAATCCCTGGTGGATATTTTTGCTTAAGTTCCTCGTGATCTTTCTGGAGCTTTAGTGTTCCAGCCAACCAAGAACCTTCCACTTGTGAGCGAGGGAAACCAGCCCTGGCTGCTTGCAGCAGCTCCAGCTGAACTGCTCCTCTTTGCAGTCGGGTGCACTAGGCACTGACGTGCAGTTGGCTCCCACGGGTGGCTGACGGGAACACGCTCATTAARCCGTGAGAGTTTAGCCTGTTCATTAGGCTTTCGCTTCGCTGCTCTTGTGCTGCGCATCCCTGTGCATGGCTTTTTCCTTGACCGTCCTGTCCTTCTCCTGCCCCTCCTGTTCTGCCTTCACCGAGGGGCCCGTCCTGCTGATCGCCACTTACTGCTTGACACTTGACACTGTGGGCTGTGCTGCAAGTCCTCTGTGCACTGTGTCTTTGCAGGATTAGCCTGGCTGCCCATCTCCCTTGGATTACGGGAGGCCCCGTTCGGAGAGGGGTGCAGCCTGTGACRATAACAGTGTCCTTGAACAGCCCAAGCGAGGAGCAGCCATGGTCAGCGCACCCATGGGCCTCACTGAGAACAGACACCTGTTGTGAGGTTCCTCACTGCTGCAAATAATGATGGTAGAATTAAGCAATTCACCTTCTCTTTGATAAACATAGGATTTATAGTGCCCCCCAAATTCCTATTAGCAATTAATTGCGTAAATTCTCCCACTCTCGCTGTCTTTCCTTCTTTCCCTCCCTAGCCTTTTCCTTTGATATAAGAAACAAAGGCGACAACTTAAAGAGCTTCTTGGAACTTAATCTTTCTTTTATGTATGGAATGCTTATATTATAGAACTATATAAATGAGCTGTATTTAAATGAAAGCATCTAAGAGGATGATGCATGGAGAACATAATAGGAATATGCTAAAATGTGTATGGGAAATATAAACAGTGTGATAACTAATCCAAGTGATGGTGGTTTGCAGATTGGTATTTAAATAGACTTTTCACTCCAGTATGTATTTGTAAATGAAATGGTATCTCATAAAAATAAATGGAAAGTAGGTGGAGATGGGGATTTGAGAGCCTTGCTTTGCAGTGGCTTTCTGTGTCACGCTAAAAATCCGCTGCTTGTTGCTGACAGCCTGGGCCATTGGGTGGGTAACTTGTTCCTGCTCTTCCCATCAAACTACTCAAACTGCATCTTTGTGTTCTCTGTTGCCACAAGTTCAAGAGCTTGGTAATAAAACGGGGGTTTAGTAGGTGATGTAGAAATTCAGACAGCGAAATTCTGTTTGTCTCCCCCGAAAAGAAAGAAAAAAGTGTCTTCTGCACTCCTGGTTACTGGGGGCAGTGAAAGAGCTGRGCCCCTCAGGAAAGGCAGTCAGTGAATCCAGTGAATTAGGACACTCTTGCAGGCAACCTGGCTGTACTGAGGGAATGCAGCTTCCCCTTAGGTACTGCCCTTCCAGGTTATAGGCCGCAGATCAGATCTAGCCAACATGCACAAGCCGGATCCAGGAGTAAATGGGTTTATAACATACGTGTCTTCGGTACCGACCTTGCCAGGTTCCATGCGGCTGCCCAGCTCCTTGGAAGGGCTCCTTGAAACCAGCTGCCTGAGTGCAGCCCAACTTCATTCGTGCAATACAAAGCTGCCAGGGACTYGGGCAGGATTAATGGGCTGGGACTGACTTTGTATGAAGAACAAACTTAACTACTTCGGGCAAGGAAGCTCTGCAGGAAACGTGGTTGCTGCCATGGTCCAGAAGCCTGTGAGTACATCACATATCATCAAATAGCCCCTCTCAGAGGGGTCTAGGCCTTTTGATGCCGTTTTGATGTATTCAAAGAGTCCAGATGAGACAGTGGGACAGCCAGCAATGAATCAAAGCTTAGGCTTAATGTAATGTCATCTTGTGCAGGAAAGATCTGAAAAGGTTCCTTCCAACCCCAGCTACTCTGTGATTCAGTTTATCCAASTGGAGGTTAAGGGACCTTGTTTTAGTGTGAAGATTGGTGGTGCTGTGGCCTACATTTGTTACCAAGTAAAATTACTTTAGCTCAACTYTTTTTTGGAATCTAGAATATTTTTTAGTATTAGCTTCATCTTATACTTAAATATTTAGTTCAAGCTTTAGTAACGTCTATTTTGTCAGATATTAGCTATGGAGTATGTTAAGRAAAATTTAATTTTATTCATTACATTTGGCTATTAGTTTTCTATCCTATAAAACTAATTAGGAAAGAGGAAACTTCTCTTTTAACCCACACTGGACTGAGTTACAGAAATATCAGTTTTAAATACACTAGTGAATCTGAATTGCTGTCATATCACCAGCTACTCTATATTTGTTTTCCAGATGCATGTCCAATGTTTTTCATCTAATAACTTGTTAGTTGCAGGGTAGAAAATTTGTTCTTGAATTCTACTTTTCTTCCCTTTAATTTTCCCCTTTATTTTCCTACTGTGTGTATTTATATTTAATATCTTAAGCTAATAATTTTGATTATTATCAGTTCAGTTGTCCCTGAGAAATGAAAACGAGGAACCAGCTGCAGCTGCAGTTCACTAAGGTCAGTTGAGTTAAGAAAATGTTCTCATAAATGCGAATTCATGTGGTTTTAAGTAAATGGAATGTTTACTTTTCTAAAACAAAATATAACAGCCCTTAAAATAGTCTTGCAACCTTTTCTATATAAATTATCTTTACTACATAAAATGTTTGACCTGCTTACACCATGTTATTTTCATTCACAGGTAAATRTTTAAAACAGAGCTGTTATGTAAAGTTAATGTATTTTCCTCTGAATTTCCACAAAACAAATTTTGATGCAGAAAGTAAATATTCTTCTGTTAACAAAGTCAATATTCTTCTGTTAACAGCAGTGAAGCATTAAGGCATATTGTTTAAGGCTTTTGTTGTTGTTGCTTTGCCAGCACTGCCTGGTCAATCTTGGTGTGTTTGAATGAGCGACACTGTTCATCAATAAGAGACTTCCTTGGCAAGGTCAACCATTACTCCTTCATGGGTGAATCTCACGGATAAACATTTAAGCCAGTGGCACGCGCGCGTGTGTATGTGTGTATATATATATATATATAATATATATATATAAAAAATGCCATGCAATGCATGCCATATTACATACATACATATGTATAAGCAAAATGTTTCCAGGTATAAAACACAATGTGGTCCACCCCAGCCTTTCTGATTTATTTCAGGGAGGCACAAATGGTTTGTTGTGGGATTCTCTCTGCGTTTTATTTATAAAAATGTTCTCTATTGCAGCACCACCTTATCCCTTGTTTCTTYTCCCCTTTTTATTTTGAGGCTGTCTGTTTACATCTGCTTTGCCTCACAGAAAGCAGGAGTTAGATCTGTACCCCAAATGGAAATTGCTCAGGAGGAAGTATTATATAGGTTAGGAAAGAAATCCTTGTAATTTGTTTTGAAGTTACTAGAGCTACTCCTGGATTTTATTTCTAAGTGCACCACAACATACGCGATGCATTTGAATTCTTAAGAGGATGGGAGAGGGTTGTTTTCAAGATGGATACTTGGTCTTTAAATACTTGGAGTAGTTTTACAAGTCTTTGTAATTACATCCAACCTGTGATTAGTAGGTGTTATTAAAGTTACATCCTCAGAAATGCCGAGGGGTCAAGTACAATCATTTAATGCCTAAATTAATGAACTATTTTTTGAAATGCAAAATTATTCACTTTCACACAGAGAAACTGCTTTGTGAAATGGCAAGAGAGGCAAAATGTTTCCAGCCGGGCCTCTCTCATAAATATTCTGCAGTGCCTAAGTATCAGCAGAGGATACACTGCATTTTAACAGACTGGGACCAGCTCTCCTAGTCAGAGTTCCCCCCTAGTTTTGTTTTTTGTTAAACAAATCAGACAGTGCCAGCCTGTTACCCTAAAACCATCTGTAACCAAAAAAACATGACAAATACATGTATGCATAAACAATTATATTTATATGCGAACCAGAACATTTCATTATGTGCATCAACAAAATAACTACTTCATTTGTTATAATTTGTGTTTCATTGACATATCAGATCTTACAGTTATGAAAGATGCAGATGTAGACATCAGAATCCATGCTTTGATATATCATAATGCCATGTTGTAGCCTTGTAAATTGGCCTCACGTGCATTTAAAACCTATAGATACGTAAATTATATCAAATGACAAAACTAGAAGCAGTCTCTTTATACTTTATTTTACAATTTCTCACTAAATATATTTACAGGACACAGAGGTTGCTTTAGTGCAATACATAGTAATGTTGCATAAGTACAAACTTTCGAACTTTTCTAAAAAAAAGAAATAAAGCACTTAACTGATGTCACAGCTAAGTATGTAAAGCAACATTAGTAACTCTGAGTGAAAATGCTAACAGCATCATTATTTTTCATAAACACTTTCTAGAAACAAACCACAAACCAGCTTTACATATTCCAAACTATTAACCCTTATACARTACCGTATCATTAAAAAAAAAATGAATTCTTTTAAAGCACATATATACCCTTCTGTGTGGCAGTCTTTTTCTGCAGATATTGACTTACCTTTTTAATACAAATATGATATTACCTTGGCAGTTTTGAAGAACAAAGTTATCTCAAGATATCAAACAGCAGTAACAAACGTGGATAAGCACAGCTTCTTGAGAACTTGCTTTAACAGCATTTCTTCACAGTGATATTTATGAAAGGTTGGAAAAAGATTAGCATAAAATATTTCCATCCTTTTTCAGTTTTTATGCAAAAATCATTACTTTATATTGGTCATTATAAAATTACAAACACTTCCTATAAGTAACTGCATCTGTAGTAGTGATAGAAAAAGTTATCTGTAAGATATCTAAAATGATGCTAGCATAAAATGATAGTTTGGAATTAGCTACATTTTTAATTTAATAGTAAGGGAGGTAACTTAATTTACAATAAGCAACATAGTATTTTAACAGAGACAGCATATTAACTCAGAGAGCTAATTATTTATTAATAGATGTTAAAAAATAAATGAACTGTGATGAGGTGAAATCATCATTTTAAAATATATCATGAATCATTTGCTCTTAATCTTAGTTTTGGCACTTTATTGGAACAATTACTTTACCAAAGACCAAAATATGTATAAAAGATACAGAGCTCCTGGACGTACTTTGCAAATATAGTACCTAAGTACTGGCAAACACCGAAGACGTGGTTAATTAAACATTCCCACAGATTTGCACAGGCATGCACTACTCGGACAACAGCACGGGGCTATGTTCTTGGCGGTGACAATCTTGCATTCCTAGGGTATTTTAGGCTGTTTCTTCAGCAGATCTTGTTTCTGATTTAAGTCTTACAAATTCTTTAGCAACTTCATCATTGGTCCTCTGAGAAAGTATTCTAAGGATTGTGAGCCCAGTCTCATCTACGGAGATGCTTCTCAGCAAGGGGTACCAGGAGGCACAGCTCCCTTTCTCTGCAATGTTGTGCAGCTGAATAACTGTCATTCCTATAATGCGATCTTCCCTGGCAAAGCAGTAATCTTTCACTGAGAGATGAAGCTCGTAGGCACCTGGCCTATCTTCGTTACTCAGAATGCTGCATGGATTAAAAATACAAATTTAGAACAAGGAGGTCAGTTTAATTCCTCTAAGAAACGAACATGCTGTAGAAATCTGGTCAACTTCATAAGGATAGTGATAGGTACAATTGCTGTAATAGAGCAGCATTTACTTAAGCCTTTTATATGGTTAACCCAGTTGGTTAAGCAGCCTCTGTTGCCACTGACCTGAACAGGAAATAGCAAATAAAATATTCAAGTAGTTTAAGCACAGGTATTAGGCAATTATCACTATGTCAAAATCTTTTTGATTTGCAAATTTTTGCATGGTTCTTCCTAGTGCAGTAATTCTGAAATGTTTAAGTGTGTAGCAGTAGCTTCCTGCCCTTAAGCATCTGTTTTCTAAATGTAATGGCTTGCATACCTACAGTGCAAAGTTCTAGATCAGTATTTCCTATTTCTCATCTGTCCTTGCAGAAAGTTTGTGTGTGTTTTTATGAGTGGGCGTATGGGTCTAATGCAAGTCTCTTCAAATTAGTTTTTCATTGACACAAAATGCAGCTCAGCTAAATTTGGATTTCTGTTGATTCTGCCAGGTCCAAATTAGCTGTAGCGTCTAGCCTAGTGTTTGCTCAGAATTCTCAGCTGGGTGGCTGGGGATATTGGCTTCTGTTGTACTGCAAGTATGAGGTTAGCTGAAAAATTAGGAGTAAAAAATGTGGTATCAGGCAGTTATGATGCCACTTTAGTACCTTGTTTTACCAAAACATTTTTACATTGCTAGTTTTGTGCTGTTTTGTTGACTCTTTGTGCCTTAAGTACCATTTCTGATTTTTAAGGGTAGAATATATTTCTATTTAATTCTTCTAAGGTAGCTGGAGATCCTCAATACCATTTTAAAACTTGTCTGACAGCAGTATTTAGCACATGCAAGGTGGCTAATATCCCACAAGCCTAAAGGGTAGGTGCAGCTAGTTAGAGATGTACCTACTGACAGACTAAACCCAACTGGAGCAAACATTCCCTGTTATGTAGCTGTTGTGCAGGAATCTGCATGCATCCTGCCTAGATCTGTGGGTACATCCTCATCCCGCCTCAAACTGCTGTTCCTTTTGCAGGTCACTCCCGTCCCTTAGGAGAAGAGCTGCTATGCTGCTGACCACAGATCTGCTGGGGTTGGTTCCTCGACAGCACTGCACATTTTGCTCTCTTGCTGCACCTCGGTTGCTCACTGCTCTGCATGGCGTGGGAGCGCGCGGCGGCACCGCCTCTGCCTTGCTGCTTCCCTGCCGCCCTGGCTCCCCCCAGGCAGTTGGTGTCACAGATGCGGCCAGGGATGAAGCAAACGCAGGGCAGCAGGGCCCGTGCTCAGGAGGAGAAACCGAGCCTGGCGTGCGGGGGCTCAGTGCTTAGAAAATGAAGGGGGTCTCAGTTGGGAAAGGAGTGGAGGTCTGAATGGGTGCAAGAGARGTGCTGTGGGGAATGTTAAACTAGAAATCCCCAGCCTAAGTGAAAAGGCTGTCATTTTGAGGCTTAGAGAACAGAGGAATATAACATCAGCATGCTTTAATGCTTTAAATCTTGGGGTATCTCCACAGACAAAATGCTCCAGATCTCTAGCARCAAGAGTTAGTGCTTTAGTCCAGATAACTACTTAGACAAACGATCTCTCAGGTCCATAAATATTTATTTTTGTGTATAGAAAAAAACTTTACTTTAAAACCAGCTTTTATAAAGACTGGAAGCCTTGTGGTTGTCTTTCATCTTCATATAAAACTAATACCAGTCAACAAATTGCTTTGAAGTGCTCTTTGACCTTGGCCTTAGGATATTTTTAGTCCTTACAGTTAAAAATGGAAGAAATTCTGACAGTATTTGTATAAAATATAAAATTAGCAGACAGAAAAGACTTACAATTGGAACGTTTCATTGTATTTTGGTGACCACGTGTTGCTCTTTGTCTTAGTTCCGTGTTTTCGTTTCTTGTCACTGAGGTTAGGACCTAATACACAGACTTCCACAAACGGTCGGAACATAGCTGTTGTTTGCCAATTTAGATTATTAATTGCTACAACTAAAAAGAAAAGGAGGAAAGAAAAAAGAAAAGGAAAGGAAAAGAAAAGAAAAGGCGTTTAACAAATAAAGCCCCATTGGAGGAACTTCAATTAATTATCCGGTATGACTTTATACAGGCACTGAAAGGTCACTGGAGAGTGATCTGAGATCTCTGCTATGGAAAATCAATAGCTGGCAGCCTGCCTGGTGTCTGCTGAGTGAGAGGGCTGAACACGTCCCGTTCCAACAGCAGCAAATACAAGTGTGCACTTCACTAATACTGACCTTAACAGCTGTTTTGTCTGCTACCTCTTCTCTAGTTCAAAAACCAGCTTATATAAACTGTGGTTGCTTTGGAATTCAGGCTGTGCAGAGCAAAGGGATTTTATTTGTTAAAAGCAAATTTGGTGTAATTTGGTGTAGTCATTCATCACAGACAAAACCGACCTCTATAATCACGACTCCTGCTGCTGTTGAGCAAGGAAAAAGTGTGATGCTGACAACCTGAATCACAGTCTCAGCTTTAGAAGCACAGAAGCCCGGTAACGCTTAACATCCATCCTTTCAATACAGGGATGTTTTACTGAGCCTGAATAGCTGTGTGTCTTGGAGTTTGCTGTTGTTGGTTGCTTTTTAAAGCTTGCTATTTGCAACTTACCTTTTACTGTAACTTTATGCTCGCCAGTTCCAGGGTGTGTAGAAACATCCACCTGTATGGATATCTCTCCCACTGAATTATTAGAAGCTTGGCCTGAAATAATAATCAGTAGAGAAAGAGACAGTAATGGCTGTTAATAGTATCCTTGCTCAGAAATACTCAGAATGCTGACAGGAATTTCAAATTTTAATGGGAATCAATTATTGATTGATATTTATACACAAGTTCCTTGCCCACTGGTTTTCCACCCATCTACACAAGCTGGGAAACAAGTTTTTCTTCAGTGTTTTTCTGTTAGAAATTCTAGCAGCCCATAAAGGAGTTAGGAAGGACAGGGAAGAGGCTGCTTTATTCTACCTAATTTCTTCTGTGCCTTGTATGAACACACTGGGATTTTTTTTTCCCTGAATTAGTTGATAACCAGCATATTTTGTTTTTATCATGTCCTATTTTTCCCAGTTCGGATATTAGGTAAGTTAAATATTCAGTGCTCAGTTTGTTGCCCAGAATCCTTGAACGCTGTTTGCAGCTTCCAGCTTTCAAATGAATGTGGCTCAGAGTTGCCATGAATCCGCTTTGGAAACATGGTCAAAGACAACATTTTTAGTAAAAATCTCATCTCTTTTAATATCTTAAGCTGTTCATAGCCGCTACTTCTGAATCACAGGTTGCTCAAACAAATGTACAACTAGATTTTTGGGGCCATTTAAGTTGTGCAAAGAGGGAACTTGTAACACATCAGGTTTTCAATGGCCATTAAACTACTTGGTGCAGTTGGGAGAACTTATTAAAGCAAACTGCACTGCCCTGGGGGGCTAATTAAGCTGCTGATTCATCCTACGTCTTGTTCACAATAAATAATGCATGAAATGTATTTATGACTATGTATATTAAGACACAAATGAAATGGACCAGAAAAGCTGGAATAAAATCAGTAAAACAGCATTTTTATAGTGGTAAAACAGTGGATTTATCTGATTGCCCTATAAAAATATTTAGAGTGATTTTATCASAGTGATATAACAGAGTGATATAATTAAAGCTGATTTCTTTCTCTCTTTTCTCTTGCAAACACACAGAACTTTTCTTTAGGGTTCAAAATACTGTGTAAAATCCTCTTCCCAGAAAAATTCTTGTTTCAAGGCCTCATTTCTGAAATGTGGTATATCTAAAGCAGAGAAATATTGGATCAAATAATAAACTGAAAATTCTGAGTGCCCTTCAGTTCTTGAACACTCTTTTACTCTGAATTAATTTACCATCGACTGCAGTGGAAGGTGAGTCGGGCTGATCCTCAGTATTGCTGAATAGATCAGCCCATGCCAATCATTTGTTTTAGCCTCTAGCTTACAAAAGAAAAAAAGAAAAGCACATTAAGGAAAATCAAGAATGTTTTGGACAAAATGATGAACGCTTTCATTAGTCAATGCAACAACTCAGAGATTATGTTTGTAAGAGAGCATAGTATAACCTATGATGACTTTCTGGCTTATTTATAGGCTTATTTATAGGCTTATTTACAGGCTTATTTATAGGAATTAAAAGCTGCCATCCTCTCACAGGTGCACTCACTCAGTGAAGGTATAAAAAAATCAGGTTTTGATTTCTTCTTTATTTGGGTCCTGGACTATCACCAGTGTCACAATGTTGTTATAGCCATAATCTGATTTTTTTTTAAAAAAGTTATTTTGTACTGATACCCTGGTCAAGTGTTTTGTCGTTGTAACACTCGTATTGGCTACACATGCCAAAATAAATGTGTGCCCCCCCCCCCCCCCCCCCCCCCCCCCCCCCCCCCCCCGCCCAAGGCTCCAAGTTCCCCCTGGGCTGTAGAATAAAGCTCTGTGAAATGGAGAGGACTCTTCCTCCAGCAGCCGGTCCTTGTGCAGCAGTGTCTTTGCCCTGTACTGTGAAAGTCATCCTTTATTGGGACTGAATCCTTTAAGAGCAGGAAGCTTTACAAGGTGTTTTTAACAGGAGAGCTTTGGAAACTAACTGCAAGGTTTTCCTGAATGATGAGCCTAGCAGAAATAAATATGATTCACAGACAACGAACAAACGTAAGTTACATCTGAATGTCAAATTCCATGTACTAGACAGCAATACTTTTAGAAACTTGCATTACTGTAATTCCAGTCTTTCTGTGCTGTTAAGAGTTTTTTTACTGCTCTTCATTTCTTTTTGAATATTTCTAGAAATAATTATTTTTGAAAATGTTTAATATATTCTAAAAATAAATAATTTGTGTTATACTTTACCCTCTGTATTTGTAATTTCACCTATTAAATATATACTGTTCCTTTTTTTCTTGCATAGGGGCACCCTGGTGTTGCAGCACGGGGCTCAGCGAGAGCGGCAAAATACGCCCGAGAAGTTGAGCTACCAACCGGGCTGCTCTGGCCGCCGACGGCCCAGGGCCCAACTATGCCCAGGTGAGYGGCTGACACGGCAGAGCCTGTGCATGTAAGCGGAGGGAGGAGCACTGCAGCCAAGGCCAAAGGTCCAGTATTTGTATAAAAATAGTATWTGACATCTTCTATTATAAATGGGAAATTTTATGTAAGAGTGTAATTTCTTCTATAGAAGTAGTCATAGAGGCCAGAACTGCCCCCTCTGTAAAGGCAGTGCTTGTTATACTTGCTAAGGGAGTTAGATTTAATCTGGTACTGCATTTAAAGGAATAGTAGCATCAAGCTGCTATTCTTCTGTTTACAGTTCAGTATAGCAAAATTTGTCAGCTATAACAAAACAAAACACAACAGCCTAGGARAAAAAAAACATGAGCAAAGCCCAAATACTATAAATGTGTAAATAAGTCAGCTGGAATTAAGTAGTACTGACTCCAAAAAAGAGACTGTCTGTCCCTGCACTCGGCTGTGCGCATGAGCTCTGTGCCTGTGGACTGGAGTTTGTAAACAATTGTGTAATCCTGAGTTAACATCATTTCATGATAAGGACTATTGACTATCCTATATTTTGGTTGGCTTTTTTTTTTTCCTTTTGAAAAACTGCTTCATGATCTTTTGGCAATCATAGTATTTTACAGACAGTAGTTTCATATAAAAATCAGCTTAATTTGCGAGTGTTTTTCACAGCATGCAGCATGAGAGACGACAACAACAGACTGAGCATGTGTGTGGTGGAGATTGAGAGGGAGAGAGAGTGAGAGAGAGATTAAGGGCACGCCTGCAAAGCAAGGATTCTTTCATGTTACAAAACAGCCTAGTAGCAAAAGAGAATAATAATAGGTTTTCAGTGCTGTTCAACTAGGGACATATCCTTCTTGTTTCAGCCATTAACAATTACAGTTTTAATTAACAACAGATGTCTTTTTTTTTTTTCTTTTTTTTTTCTTTTCTGTTATTAAATCCAGAAGAATTGAAGGCCTTGCGCTTGTGGGCTGTTCCATGTCCATCCTGTTTAAGTGGCTCTTGCAAAGACTACTCCAGCCAGGCAGTTGTTGCAAAGGCAAGACTGGCAAGACTTACGTATCTGCAGAACAGGTAGTGGACACTGCACAGTGGATTTTCATGCCTTACACAGGTAGAATCTCAGCTGTTATCCTTTTTTTTTTTTTTTTTTCTCTTTTCCCTGCACTTTCTCCTCTGTACAGCTCCGTTGAGCTTTAAACAAACAATGGTGTTCAGAGTATTTGTACAAAAGAGAGTGTGCAGAATGCTGCTCTTTTTGGGTTTGGGTGTTAGAAATTCAAGCAAAACCAGGATTGGGATTTGTCAACAAAACAGTGGCTGGATGTCCAAACTCTGATGTGGAGCTACATTCACAGTCTTTTTCCGTGCAGAGAACTCAGAAATGTACTAATTCTCTCTCCTGGTGCTAGAAATTTGATATTTCTGTGAAGAGAGAGACTTGATTCCGCTTCTGGAAACTGAAGTCTTTAATAAATGGTCTACTGGTCTGCATTTCATCCAAAAGAGATCAGTGCCTACTCTCAGGTGCCTGAAAAGAGAGGTTTTCTGTGTGTGCTTGAAAGGCTTTTTATGCTACCTGTAGTTACTACATTGTAAGAATTTATTGACCAAGAATACATTCTTAGAAGTTCTGTAATTTAGTTTCATGATATGTACACATACATCTATTGAACCATATACATGTGTGTGTGTGTGTGTGTGTGTGTGTGTGTGTGTGTGCACATAGTAATATATGCATGTATGCACATTTTTTTTCCTTCACTGTATTTTTTTTCTGTATGAATCAGGAAGGTGCCTGTTTTGCAGTCGTTATATCTTTATGCAGAGAGCAAGGACAGAGCACAGAGGGAGCAGGCGGGCACTCAGCTGCCCACATTCACCTCTGCAGGTAGCAGTGTGTCAGTTGGAGACAACCCTGGGGCCTCTGGTGAGATCCAGCTGTAAATAAACTGCAGCATGCTTAATATCTAGAGAGAAGGACCAGGTAATGAATAATGGTAATTTGTAATTTGTAGTAATAACAGGCTTGTGTGTATGTAATTTTATATATATATAAAAAAATAAAAAATATATATATCTAAAATTCAGAGAACTGAAAGGACATACTAATTTCGTTCAGTATTTTAAAAGAGCAGACTCAATTCTCCATACAGACAAGTATAGCCTCTCAAGTTGGAAAGTTTATACATGTATTAAATACTACATGATAGCATTAACTTCTTTAGAAAGTTGTTGACATACATCTGATGATTTTAAATGGGCATTATAAATATTTTGCATACCAGTATTTTATGTTTGCATTTCTGAACTCTTAAAGGGAACAGTAATACACATCTTATAATTTAGGTGCTTTAGTATTTCCTTTAAAGGTAAGCAAAGGTATTTTGTCATGACACCCTCTCAAGCAAAGTGCCTGTGAACACCCTGTATTTCACTAGCCATTTTGTTTTCTTACAGTTGAACCTTTAAAATATTTATTTTCTCCCTGGATTCTGAACACATTAATTTTGATATTAGCATATGGTAAAATCTATTAGTCATGAATCTGCAAATTTCTTCACTGTGCATATTTTATGTAGTCTGTTAGCATACATTGATTGCAACTAGGCCAAGTTCTGCAGCTTGTGATGCAGACCTGTAACAGACATTGCAGCAAAATAATTTATTAYATTTACATATTCTCACTTTAATGTGCTGTAACTAGTTTGATCTTTTGGTGGTAATTCCCATTATCTTTTCAAGCTATTTTTTCTTTTTATGAAGTAATGTTGTATAACACAAGATTGTGACCTCAATTTGAAACTCCAGTGGATGAAGCAGGGATTACTTCAGGAGTTAAATTCTACTTATTATCTCCTCTTGGTTTTAGATGCTTCCACTTTTAGCTTCTGCTTGTCTAGCATGTGAAAAGAGGAAAGCTGATACAATCAGCTCATGTTAAAAAATACTCTGTGCCCTGCTCTGCAGCAATTTAAGCACAAAATAGGCACTGCAGTAGGAGCTCTGTGCGGGTCCAGTATTGATTTTTCTGCTCAACTAATACAAATTCTTGTTAGTCAAGCAACGGCACGTTGCAGTTCTGCCACCATGGATTGCTGCTCCCTATATTCTTACARTGAAGAGTTGAAGTAGTCTCTAATAGGGCTTATAAAAGTAACCTGCTATATATGCGTGAGAAAAAAAGATGTTCCTGGATGACGTTGATAAGTGACCGTGTGGGACACGGCAGCGGCATTCAGCTTGGAGAAGTTGTTGATAATAAGTGAGAGTGTGTTCAGGATGTCGCAGTGTTTGAGGTACTTCGTTTTTATAGTTTGCCAAAAGTAAAAGTATGGAGGTATTAGAATTTACAACATTTATCACCACGGTGCTTTCAAAAAGCAGCTCACATTAAAAAAAAAAAAGTTGTCAGTTATTCAGAAAGTTACTTCTAGTTTATGTTCAGCAGTGCTGTTTACTTATTCAAACACTTGTCTGTTCAGAAAAGAGTCCAGAGAGTTGGCAGAACTGCTCTGAAACATAAAAGATCAAGCAGAGTAAGATAAAAAAGTAAAATCTGTGAAGGTACCTGCTTCTCAAACAGGTCAAACACAACTTTTTACCTTTCAGTGCCTTAGCCACAATGCAGCTTGATGGAAAAAAGGAAAAAAGAATTCCCTCTGTGGTTAAACATAACCCTGGTGATACTTTATAGTGAGTCCTGGGTGGGCACAATGCGCATCATCACGATGGGCATGCACATCCCAGGCTGGTCGCATATGGGATTTTTGAAAAATATTTAACAGTTTGACACCTTAAATCATACATAAACCATCCATGGATGTTTCATAAGATGACTGTCTTCTACTGCAGTTATGCTGAAAGGATATTTGTGCTTTCCTCATCATTTTGGCTAGGGATTATATTTTCACTGCAACAATTACTAAGTCAACTTTTTTTTTTGTGGCAACGGTGTTACCTATATATATATATATAAGTATATATATAAAATACACATATGTGTGTGTATGTTTACATCATTTATACTGACACAGTRCAGGCTGTCCTTTAGTGTTATGTAAATAAACACTTTCACTATATTTATGAAGAAACAAGATGCTGCTCACAGTTCAGGTTTTATGCTTACATTAGGTCTGAAATGTTTAAAAGGAAGAAGCAGGAAAGCTAGCAGGGGCTCTGACAGTTCAGTGCTCTCATTTTGTATTTGTTATTATTTATTTATATTTCTCTATTTATACTGCTATTAATGCTCATTTTATTTATGAAATAAATAGCTTGTACAACTTTTTAAACCTTTACATTTTACTATGCAGAGCCAGCTGTCCTTGCCTCAGTTGGTTACATGTGCCAAGGTCCCTTATGGAAGGGCTGAATGTTCTTTACTACAGGCACAAATGGCAGCTGCAGCAGTTCACTGAGATCCACTGGGCCTAATTCCTTCTTCTTAAAGCCACCAGCCAAGCAAAACTGTCTCCGAGCCTCCATTCTATTTTTCCCAACACAGGGAGGCTTAAGCTGTCCATTCTGCGCACTGCAGACATCTTGTGTGAGAGCAAATAGAGAATCTATACTGTGAAAATACCTGAACTGGTCCTTCCTCCATTGCAATTAGTAAAGTCTTTGTGCTCTACTGACACATTCTGTAGCAGTTATTTAGGCTTTGGGGCTAATTTATTTCCTGACTGATAAGTCAGCTGGACTATATAGAAGTTAGTGGGTTTTGTTGTTTTATTTTTTTTCTGTCTTCACCACAGGATCTCAGTGCTGTGCTGGAAGATGTCTGAAAGGTAAAAATCAAGTTATTACAGCTCTGTAGTTGGTAGATGACCAGTGAATGTTTGTCCGCAGGAGTGTTGTTCCTGCTGAAACAGAGCTGTAAGTGGCCTGAGGAAAATACCTGCTAAGTGACCTGGGGATGGCGTTGAAGCTCCTCCTGTCTGGTACAGCAGGACCAGCAGAGGGGCTGGCTTCCATGTAGGGACACCACAGAGCTCTTCGGCCAGCTACCGTGGCCCGGGCGGAGCAGCAGCCCCTGCAGCACTATTGAGGAAAGGACCACGGAGCGTGCTGTGTGATAGGCACATGGCAGTGACTGAAACAGGGGCTAATTAAAGCACATCCTTTGCATCTGGTTTATCTTGCCATATGCTTATAATATTGTGAAAACCCAAATGAGCAGAAGATGGTAAAATATCTGTTTGATCTGAGAGCTGTACATAAGAACTGAGCATCCAGAATAGGAAGAAGAATGCTCCCACACTAGTGCACTTTCACCATGGAACAGCCGTAACAGRATTTTGAGGAACATGAAAATTTTGATGATGAAAAGCAGGTTTTCTTTACAGTTGCAATGAAAGTATGCATAGGAAAAAGCAAAATACAATAATAATGAATCAGTTTCTGTCCAAATTTATAATCTTTTTTGAGAAGAAAAATTACCTATTTCCTACATAAGAGAGATTTACATCATTTTTTCCTCACTTCTGGTATAAGAATTAATTCATGATGATCCTAAGTCTAAAATGGAAGATGTCTGGGAAATCATTCCTTAAAATGAATCTAGAGGGCAGGCTGCAAAAATTATCTTTTACGATAAGTGAGATATTGTATATCAGAGGAAAAATCAATTTATTTTCAGCTTAAATGCCCAATTATTTTTTTTTTTGCGTTCACATAATTGGAAGGTAATTCTTACAGATTGGCAAACTGTATTTCTTCTTAAACATATGAAGTGATAGCCATTTTTACAAATGCTCACTCTATTTGAAAGAAATCTAGTATCGCTTATTACCATGTAAAAATGGACAGTTTTTAGACTGAAGAAACTCTGCGGCTTGCAATGCTTTGCAAGCATGCAAAGAGTTGTATGTATGAAAAGAGTTCTGGTATCAGCAGTTTGAAAACACTAGTATGGCTAAGAAAGATGAGAAATAGTTTTCTTTGAAAATAGAAGGAATTTCTGCCTAATACTATTTGCACCCTCCTTTTTAAGTCACAGAAGGTTCTTTACCGACAGGTAACATTAAAAAACGGTATACTTATTATACATGAAGAGACCTCTATCTTTCAATTATTTTTGTGCACCAGTGATCAGTACACCAGAATTCTAGAGCAGAAAAAAAGTGGCATTATTGTCGGTGATGAAGAGATTCAAAATATACCTAATTTGAGGTTCTTGCATATTCTCCGCCTTTATTTGGTTTTGGGAGAGATGAACAATGGAACATTTTCAGGAGCATGGTTTTAAATATGAATTCTGAAAAGGCACAATGAAAACATCCAAACATGGAGAATAATACTCTGTTTCAGCCAACTGACACATCCCATTCCTTTTGAACCCACAGAGTGATGGGCTTGCTGTCAATGTCTTCCTAAATTCCCAGGCACAGAACTTCTGTTGAGCACTCTTGAAAATTTTTACAGGTGACGTCTTAGCAGGAGAAGTCAGTACAGGTTCTGCCACGTGAAGCCCGTGTGCCACATTTCAGTACGTTACCCACAATTGTTCTTAATCTCGAAGGGAAACCCTATGGGACAAGTTATACTTTCCAAAATTATCCTGGGTAGTAATTAACAGCCACCAGGCTCTGAAAGTATTTATAATGGCTAAAATACTGTTTAAAATAATGTCTAAAATCAAATTTATTTGATTTTAATAATTACAATATATAGTCTAGTTTAACCTGTACAATTCTGTTTGTGTCTCAAATGCTCCTACAAATAACCTTGATGCTCAGTGTTCATACAGAACTGTGGGACCTATTCTTCATGCCAAAGTKAGTCAGGCAAATGCACTGATCTCAGTCAAGCTCCACTGATTTATAGCAGTGGCTGACACCGGATAACATCCCATGCAAAGATTTGTGTCAATAAATACTAAAATACCACAATGTTTGTAGACTGCCCTTGAGAACCAATTATTTAAAATATTTAAAATATAATTTTGAGGTATTTGCATGTATTTACAGGTCACTTACTTTGCGATGTCTGCGTGTGTATGAATTTCTTAATCAAGGCATCGGTAGTTTGTGTGTAAAGGCTAAGAGCGTATTTCAGGGACTGCAGGTCTGGGCTCTTTTCCAGGAAGTTCTTTTTCAGCCCACTGCCTCCAGCATGGAAGTATTGCTGAAAAGGAAACAGAAGCTTCAGAGAGGCAAAGTACCAGACTGAGGTCTCAGTTAGACATACAATTTTAACCAAACTTCATGCACAAACTTTTAAAAGAAACAATGGCTGGTGTGGCTTAATTTATGATTGCAGTGGTTGAGGTAACTGTGATGATCTCTAAATGCGAGCTTTTTTTCCAAATGTGAAAATTTTAAGATCTGCAGACAAGACAATTACACAACACTACACTGTCCTTCATTCTCTCATGTATTTATATCACAAAGCCATATAAATGTGGAAAGTCCTTTTTAGATTGTGGAGATAAAAAGTGGGTTTAATTACTTTTTATCCAAAAATAATTCTCAAAACTCTAATCATGGTGCCCAGTATACATAAAGAATATCTTTCTGAGGAAAGGACAAAATTTCTCATAGATTTAAAAGAGAAAAACCCTAGAATGCAAATTTTGGGGGATTTGCATTGCATTGTAATTTTCAGCGCCTCTGTGGAGTTGCAGAGAAGGTGTGAGCTATCCTTGAGTGGCTACATTTTGGTTTCATGGACTATGGAAGAAGGAGAAAGAGATGATGAACTGGTCATCATCATGTGGCCCCTGAGACAGTTCAGGTAGAATAACCTCCCTCAAGGGGGATTTCCTTTTGGGCAGGACAGGTGCAGCTACTGTTCCTGCATGCCCTTGCATACACGAGGCATCAGTAAACCCCAAGCCATGCAGAGCAGGGCCTGCAAACTTGAGCTGTGGCCAGATTACGCCTGAGGCATTTGGTGCTGCCGCAGCCACTCRTCAAGGTCTAGCTGCCCATCAAGGCTTTCTGGAAGAGCAGCTTCCTTTAGGTGTCTGCCAGCACTTATTCTGCCAGCACACCTTCCACTGGGGTTACAAATTATTTTAATCCCACCTAAGCAGTCAGGATAAATTTAAGAGCTTCTAAATTGGTCATATTTATTTTGTCACCACTGAATGCTTCTGTGAAATTTATATATTTCCCAGTCAATTACTGTGCTTTCCAAGGAAATTGCTATTAATGGAATTGTTTGAAAGTGGGATCATGCTTTCACCAAAGCACTTAATCAACTTGTAAGCAAGCTCTAATGCATGTTCATGGTGTTTCTTGTTACTGTAATATTTTTCAGTTGTGTCTCCACATAAAGGGCAGCATCTGCAGCAGCAGCTGCTGAAGGCTAAAGGTTGCATGAAAGCAAATAAACAATCTGGAGACATTAGCAGATCCTGTGATTCTGTTAACTGATTGCTTTGAAATATTTACAAGAAGTAATGATCCAGCTCAATGTGAAAGAACTTCAGTATACTAAATAACATTCTTAGTGGTTTATTTTGACCCTAGAAACCCAATATGTGAACACTGCATGAAAATCGTTCTCTTTCTCTCCAGCTTTCTATCAAAAAAGAAGWCTTCATTAACCTCTCAGCTTTTGCATTTTATTAGAGGAATAACCCAACAGAAGGATCATTGATCTGAACATATACAGTGTGTTCAGAAGAATTCATGTGGCCTGTGGCCTGGTCTTCTCATCCTTTCAGAGAGGTCAGATCCTATTTATCAGTAAATTAATTTGTACTTTTGCTAATATTGAGTCTCTAAACATTATGGCTGCCTTAAAAATATATTTTAAAATCAGCTGTAAAATCTATTTTAAAGCAATTATGTAATGGTAAGATTTTGTGAAATAGTTATCTTGTTGGTGTTGGTAATACACAAAATTTCGATTCATCCAAATATGATTGGTTTCATGGGAAAAGGGCCAATATGAAGAATAATTAAACGGTATCTGTGAATTAAATCCAGTTATGTAGAAGAGACAGTTAATTAGGTGGTGAATACAAATGGCAAAAAGATTGTAAAAAATTCAACTGGATAATGAATTTAAAATAGTGTACACTACTGCACGGTAGAGAAATCCCTGCCTTCCAGTGCTGTGAAATACCTGTGTGTGTGCGTGGCGGGGTYTATCTGTAGGAAAGTGAAGTTAGAAACTTTTCTGGTTCAGCCCTTCCTGCGTGGGTGCTAGAGAGGCTACGCTGCAACATAACAAGGATGCAGCCTAACAGATTGGGCCACGCTCTCTAAACTGCAAAGAAACAGGAATCAGAAAAGCCTTGGCCACCCACCCCGTAACTGGATGCTGTGAATGTTTGGTCTACAATTGTGTGAGTTACTTTTCTGGCTTTTGCTTCAAGTAGAGTATTAGATATTGCTTTCAAATCCCTATAAAGAGCTTAGGTACATACTGCTCTTGCCATGTTGCATGGATCTTTATGATTCTATCAGGCTGTATAGAACACTGTATTGTATTGTAGAATTATATATATAATGTAGCATTATAATTGTATTGTAGAATATGGTATTCAAGCCTGCTGTTTGTGTTGGAAGAGAAGCACAYGGAAAGCCGTACCTTAATAGTAGCTAAGGCTACTTCCATGATTGCACACTGCCTCAAGGTCAGGCTCCTGGCTTCCTCTCGAATCACATGGTCCTGCAAGGCATGTCAAGAATGCAGGTGATTAAAAGAGAGAGGCCTGTCCTTGGTTAAAAAATAAACCAAAAAGAACACACTAACAAATAAACCCCCGAAACTGCTTATGTTTAGCAGAGATTAGTTAAACTTTAGACCTATTTTATCACAAATTCTAACCCAGAACAGTGCTTTTGTTTCTTAAAAGGTTAGGTTACAGAGGAGGAGGAAAGAACCGATATTTAAGGGGTGGAATCTATATGGCTTTATTTCTGTTATCATGATACAGTGTTTCTCTGTTTGGTTGGGGTGTTGCAGAGGTTAAATTTTAAGTTCAAATGAGTAAAATTAGATGATATTGAAACAATCTATTTCACTAATGAATCTGACAGTCAAACTAATGTTTGTTAATATCCCATGCTTAAAAAAATGACTCTGATTAGAATGCACTGAATACAATCATAAAGTAATGGTAGTCCTGGGAACTTTTTCTAAGATAACCACCCCATTATTTACTTAGCATTTTACTCAGCAGACTGAGCTGTTAGACACAGAAACACAAATTACCACATTTCTGCCCAATTCTGAAATGTGAATGGCAAACTACTACAACTACCAAACTTGTAAGCTATTACTGCCTTTACAAATACAGTGCAGTAAAGTTTATTGCAGAGATACTGTGTTTCCACACAGATTATAACTAATATGAAAAACAAACTTACAAGTACTCTCATTTTAAGTGTTTCCTCACAACTGAGCCATAACATACCATATGCTTAATGTTCATAAGGCTGAGTTGTGCAATATGGGAATGATATCTTGGCCCCAGCTAGTGATCACTTATTTATGTGAGCAAATACTGTCTTTTAATCCTGATTTGTTTTGGACCGTACTGTAAAACCATTAATCATCCATGTCCAGCTACTGCCACATTCAGTCTTACTATAGTAAATAAGCACAGGAGTGAGGCATGAGGTTTGGCTGCAGAGTTACTGATATTTAATCCCTTCCTTCATTGGAGCAGACCATTCACAGATTCATTTGGCTACATTACCTTGAGTTTTGACAGCTGTCCAAGATCTTTGGCTGCGCTGAATATCATCTGCGGCCCCTGTATTCACGTTGAAAATTCAGAAAACAGCCTTACTACAGTGTTTGTTTTTTATAGTAACATTTTCTTATTTTCTGCTAGGACATTAGCTGAAGTCACTGATTGCAAAAGTTGCTATTACRTGCAAAGCAGGTTTCGATTTAGTTGCTCTGGCAAAGCAGCTGAAGGCCTGTGTGATCCTCTCACATCCTGTACTACAAAAACGTTGTCTGTGGTTCTGATAGCAGTTTCTTGTGCTCCTGCCTACAGTCTCATTTTTTATTTAATATATTTGTAACAGACAGACTGCTTTTATACAGTGTTAATACCTGCTTCAATGAGATACTTGTCCAAAAGCATAGTTCTTAGATGCTAGGATAGAAGTTTGGGTGGAAAGGTTTCTAAAATGTTGTTTTATAATATTAACTGCAACAGCGTGCTTTTAACACCAAGTGGACTCTGCACCTTTGACAGGTAATTCTGTATTAGTAAATGGAGAAAAAAAAAGGCAACAGAAAAAATCCAGCTCAGAACCACACTTGTCTATGATTCAGAGTGTAAGGGAACTTGTTAAAGTATATCCATACAGCTAGCAATTCCTTGTAATTCTGAATGGGAAGTACAGCTGTCCAATTTAAGCACTGTCTGTACATTTGCAGATAAAATTTACCATGTTCTTGCCTCAGGTGGTCATAAAATCAAATTAACTGTCAGAAATATAAATTTCACATAGAGCTTGAAAGCCTTTTTCTAAATGCGTGATAAGCAACAGCAGTACAGTAAATACGAGCAAATTCAGTGAATGGAGACCTGGGTATGATGGTGTGGTAAGTTCTACACTAGAATTTTTCAAAGCCACTATTATTTACCTACCATATATACATTTTATACATTTATACCATTTACACCTGTGCAGTTATATTTCCTCTTGTCTCTCCACCAGTTTACTTATGTATTTTTTTCGTATATTACAATGTAATATGTCTTACAGATACTAAGCAGAAGCTTAACTGGTAACACAGGAAAGCTGCCCAAAGCACACAGAAGCAATGCAGTGAACAGCTTGTAATAAGGATGGTGATCTTTATTCTGATAGGATTGGAAATCAGAAGAATCAGCTATTCCAGTCCCACAGAGAAGGAGAGAAAAAAGTAAAAGTAGGGAAATAAAAAGCACCACAGTTCCAGGAGGAACGTGCTTGGTTTTCGGCTGGTGAAGCCATGAGAAACCCCCCTTAAACCTTCTACAAAAGCACACCCCCAAGTTCCGTTTCTTTTTTTCTGCCTTCACAAAACCAAACCAACTGGATCCGTCAGAACCGCCCTGCCCTGGACTGGCACCCATCCAGCAGCATCGTCTTCCTCCCTGCTACCGAAGGGCGACGTCGCGAGCGACCTGGCCACGGCAGCCCCGCGCGGCTACTTACACTCTGGTCCGTCAGTGGTGGAAGCACAATCTGCTTTTCTATTTTGTTCAGGACCAGCTTCCACAGCTCTTTCAGAACCCGTTTCAGAACTGTCTTCTCACAGATTTTCGCAGAGAGGCTTAAGCTGTAATAAAGTACAGAGCAAGTTTCAAAACCAGAGTTAAGACCCTGAAGATGCTGAATCACAATATCCTCAGATTTATAGCCATTATGGCTTCATTTTTCTCTGTCAGTACAGTAATCAGCTATTTGATAATTTTTCACAATATTGCTAGTAAAGAAGGTTTTTGTTGAAAAAGGACCTGTAGATTAGAAAATCTTGTAAATCTCTAGTACCTCTGTTCCTGCTTAGTAGTATTAGTGACACGTATAAAAATGCAAATTTACAATGAGTTATATGGTTTGATGGACAATTTAACCCCCCCCGCTAACTCCTAAATTAAGGTTTTAATATATAATTTATGCCATAAAAACAACAACAGAAAAGCCCAAAGTCGTCTTTGTTGGCAAATATGTCTACTGCGATATACAACTAGTTGCAGTGCTGCAAATTCAGAAATACCATCCTGAAGCATTTATATAGATATATAAAGATGTATGAATATATATGTAGGTACTTTCTGTGCAACTGTATGATATATTACTAGTATGGTCAAATTAAGTATTTGAAGGATCTCTATCTRTCTATCTGTGCTCTTCATCTAAGGGCATTTTCATGAACCATCATGTACGTGAATGAGTAACATAAATAAAGTGCTCGTTTTCAGGCACAGGAAGACAAATTCAAACTATTATTTCACAAATAGTTCTCTAAAGATCGCCATATATGCATATCTGAGCTGCTCATGTAAAAAGATTTTTATGAATATRCACCTCATAGCAATAAACATAAACATATGACAACTTACCTGGCATCTGTTATTACGACCTTGTAAAATGTACATAAATGAAAGTAATTAAAAAACGACATCAATGTTATAATACTATCCTTTTTTCTTTGAAATTGCCAAGCAAAATTTGTTTTAGTATTACACTTTTACTTTATGYGTAAGGGATTTAGGACATACTAAAATAATGTATAACACTCCAGTGGAGTGGAACGTTTTCTGTTTGGCCAGTATTTTAAAAACATCTTTGCTTTGTTTCCATCGTATCATTATTCATTTCAATGTCAGGTGGCTTTGCCAAATGGTAAGCTAGAATCAGACCTCACAAGCAGCAAACCAGCCCCTCGCGGGGTTTCACGTTATAAGCTTAGGACAGGTATATGCAAGTGCACAGACATTTTTGTCTTTTCCTGAAGACTTGTTCTGGAAATTGTCTCAATTCGGAAGTAAATAAAATAAAAAATGATACTGCTTCAAAGCWGTGCATAACCTTTCAGCAGCTAAACACACAGGATGAGGTAGATTGCTAAGAATAAAAAGGCTAACATACACATACAGCAGCTAAAAGACATTTTTTTTCTAAGTTTATTAATCCAATTACCAGTTACCAGTATTGCAAAAACACCAACTCCCAACATATTGAATAAACAATTGTCCCATTGCCAACTAGGCTTGCAATCCATATTAACAGCGAAAGCCTATATAAAGATTAAAGTCATGTAAAAGTCAACCCCCAAGTCCCCTTCCCATTTGCCTTCTCTACCCTTTACACTCTCCTATGGACCCTGCTAGACATTGGAGATTTTATATATATTTGGAGATTTTTATATATACAAATATATATATATACACAAATATATATAATATATATATATATATTCAGTCAGGAAGTGTGATTCTAGCTGTGTTTCTGTGATTCTAGCTGTGTCCCCTGGTCCCACTCTGAGATGCAGGTACAGTGTGAAGTAATGCCTTGCAGAAAGGAAGGTTAATTATAAATTGATTATTTAAATCAGCCTTTGACTATGGCTTCCCAGTCCTATCATTGGAAACCTAAAGAAATACTTCCCATCTCCAGCTACTACCTTCAAAATGAGGCCTTACTGACCATCACAGATGCACAGCAGTTTGTCAAAAGTCTCCAAACAAATGTGCTTTGGGTTCCTTTCCAATGCCTCAAAGCACGTTTAAAGAGAAAGCAGCTGAATATGTTACTTACATAAAAGTTGCTTAATGTTAGCTAAGTGTCTCAAGAAGAGCATCTGCATATATCACAATGCCACAAACACCAGAGGCACCACAAGCTATTTCTAGGCATTAACCAGGGAGCACCCGGCCACCCCACGTACGTTTTATCCAGAAAGTCCATGAGCGGCCTCAGCACCAGCTCGGCATCGAGGGCTGCGCTGTTCTTGTTGCCTGCTGCGTTGCCATTGCCTCGCATCTGGCTCAGCTCAGAGCTCATTTGTTTCACACAATCTTCAATAACAAGTTGGAAACTAGAGTTGGAAAAGAAAAAAATCTTTTGGGGATGGAAAATAACGATTTATCACTTTCAACTAGTTTTATCAACAAGATCTAAATCGTGTCTGTGATGATGGGAAGCTCTCCCATACAGGATACTGCAGGTGCTTTAAACTTAAAATAACCCCTCTGAAAGATCTGAACTCACAGAATTCATTCACTTACTGTTTTGATTTGCTGTATGTCTCTTCTTGTTTCAGTTCTATTATTGCTTTTCATAGCACTGTATTGGTGCCAAGAATTATTTTCTGAAAGTAACAGTCTCTAAGTAAAATTTGCAACCTGGGGTATGATTGACAGAGCTTCTCCAGATTTTATTTTTGTTGTGAAAAGACAAGARGAACAATAAAGACGTATTTCTCTTCTCAATTCACTTGGCTTAGCTTTGATATGTTTTCCCAAGGACAAAGGAAAACCTCCACTCATTTTGCCCTGTTTGTCTCAGTTTGACTTAATCATGTGTTCCACGCAGCCTGTCCCATCAGAATCTTTGCCTGTTTCTTTGCAGCTGGTTGACACAACTGAAATATTTGGACTGTTCCAAGTATTTTTTCTCCAAAAGCTGCAGCTTGCTTAGTTCACAGCACTGGTTAAAATGAGATGGCTGGTGATTTTATGGCATGGTGTCAAGTGTGTTGKATTCTGGGTGGAATTAGTGTCTACTGTAGCTATCTGGAGCATCTCCTGGACTGACCTCAACTGTTCTGGGTTTTGTCTTGGAGAAATTCAGTTGGCTCATTCAGAAAGAAGTCCTGGAATGAAATAACACTCCTGCACTGTCAGTGATGAGAGAACCAGAGCCTGGGAGCCAAAGGCAAGCAGATACACTAAGCACACATGGTGAAGAGAGTCCACCCAGACTGCGCATCAAGGACCGACTAAGCAACTACATTTTTCACTTAAGGAACATCACTGCAGCCAAAAAAGGGAATTCTTGTGTTCCCTTCTTATTAAAATCAAAGTAACTTGCAGCATCTTCTGGTAGTGACATGCTGCTGGCAGAGCACCGCAGCCATTCCAGACATCCATCGGACTTCATGCAGTCTCATTAGTGGCTGGTTTCAAGAGTCAGGTTCCACTGACTCCTGCAGGGCCGCAGGCAAAGCCAGAGACCCAAGGAGGCCGTTCACAGGGATCACCTGAAGCAGGCTAAGCACAGGCAGCCTTCCCTGCGTGACGCAGACCACTCACTAATGCTGTTGGTCCTGGGAAATAACATATGCGTAGACAGAGAAGCTGAACACAGCATCAGGCAAGAACAAGGCAATTTTTGTCTCTGAGAATGTACAACAAGAATCGGCAGCTGCACTGCTGCAGCCTGTTGCTGCCTGCAGACTCGCTCTCGTCCTGCAGCAGGGCTGCTGCAGCCGCCCATTGCAGCGCAGCACGCAGGGCTGCACCGCACGCCAGCAGCGCCCGAGCTGCTCCTCCCCAAAGACATCCCAACAGGCACCCGCGCTGACTGGGGAGTCTGATGGGAACACGTCTCCATCACTTGTAGTACAACAGGGCTGTTACCTTGTAGCATATGTCATGCTGAGTTCATCCAGTACATTACTAAGTTTCACTTGAAGTTCCTTTAGGCCAACACTAGCTTCAGGATCCAACTGCAAAGAGATWGTAAATAACATTATTTGCTGCTTTTCTGTTCTTGTTTTTTCAGGTACAACTAGAAAATTTAGAATGATGTGCAATGTTACACTGCACWATGGAAAACCAAATGTGGAAACACCTGTTACAACAAAGTATTGCTTAGTAAGACCCCAAAAAATCAGTTACCATAGTAAAGCACTGTAACAGTGAAGACTTACACTGTTAAAAATTAACCCTTTTCCTTGGGCTGGTACAAGCTGTGTCAGCCATCCCAGGATTAGARTGATGGCTGCCAGACTATGACACACAAAAAGAATACCCAGAGAAAGATGCCTAGGAAGTCTGTGCTTGCAGTAATATGAATACATGTTTCATCCTCAATCCTGCAGGATTTTTCCACCTTCCACCATCKTCAGTAATTTGTGTTTTACTTAGAAGATGTTTCCATTTTTCCATTAATGCAGTGTAAAACAGCCAGCACTGAGGAAGATGGTTTGAAGACTATCCATGCTGGTACTACTGATATGGTAAGAGGGAAAGGAATCTATTGAGTTTCAGTCTTTTTATTTCTAAAAGCCATTAAGAGGTATCAAGCACAGTGCAGTATGTTCTGAAGTACAGGCAGAACAACAACTTGTATCTCCGATACAGGTTCTCTAAACATAGGAAAAAAGGGAATGCAGGGCAGAGCAGTAATTTTACATTTATGTCTGATCAAGCAGAGGGATGGGGTTCCATGCACAGATTTTTAATCAAAAAGGTTCTCTGATATGGATTGGTAGCTTATTTAAAAAGAGTTCTGTCTCCTTGAGCTTCAGCATTTAGGAAAAATAATTATATTCCACTGTGGGATACCATAGATGATCATCAAGATCAACAACAGAACATGAATAAGGGATGTACCAGGTCTCTGAGTTACCAACATTGCAATGTTAGTGACTGGTTTTCAATGCTCAAATTCTGGGGCCATGTCATACACAAATTTTCTGGCACTTTCCAAGGGGAATTTGGAGTGCATAATCCAATCTGCAGTCAGGTTACTAGTGTTTCCTGTTTTTCCAATGATGCTTTAGAGCCTCGCCTGCTATGGTGAGGCAGGTCAGCTCTTTTAACCCTGCTCTGGAGAATAGGGAAGTTGTGGCCCAGTGCACTGCATGWCTTACAGGACATCATGTAGGCATTCTAAGACAAAATTAATTAAAAACAAACCCACGCTGACGCATCCCCCGACATGTACTGTGTTCTAGTCTCAGACCACTCTTTCCCTCCTCAGAGGTTATGGTTTAAAAGCATAAAAAAATCTTTCTTTTTAATTACTTTTTCACCCAAATCTCACACAGAAGAAGGAACTGCCATACATCTTTACTTAGAGACTCAGTAACGTTACTTTGGTACTCGTGGTTATAAAATACATGAATATTGGCAACATGATTTATATAGGCAGGGTACTGAATATACTAACGCATCAAGACGAGGTGACCCTGCATGTGCAGGGAGGTTGGACTAGCTATCTCTAAAGGYCCCTTCCAACATTAAGGATTCTATGACTTAAGGCTAAGCTGAAACCTTTAAAAACTGTCACCCCGACCCCTGAATGAGTGTGACTGCACTCGCCTCCAAACCTCACTGCTGATCCTTGCCTTTGTGAAATGCAAACAGACACTGACAAAGAATGACAGGACTCACATGCTGGTGATGTGCAGCATTTTTTAAATCTGAGAAGCTCAGATTATAACACTGACTATTCACTGCCTAGTTTTTAACTACTTTGTATTGAGAGAAGTTTTTCCATTGTGTTATAATAGCTTCCCTAGCAGATAAATTCTGGCAATACAATTTCTTAAAGTGATCATTCTGCTTCATACAAAAAGCAGAAATATCATTATTAGGTGGAGTGAAACCAGCAGAAGGATTCTTCTAGGAAGGGCACTTCTTAGGGGATTAGGCCTCCTTCAGTGGGCGGCATCCATAGCACAAAACTAAGCCCTCCATGAGAACATTAACATTTAACAAATACTGAACCCATGAGCATTCACCCTGAACACGGTACAGGTAAGAGAAAACACAAAACACAGGGCAGGCAGAAGACTTGAAATTGCACAAGAGACACAAGTTCCTGGGATGACAGAGACCAATGCAGTTACTCTCTATCAGAGGTTGTTACAATGACCAGAAGATACAACTCATTTGCTAAATTCACCTGGAATTGGCTATAGCTTGGCCAAAATGAGAAGGGTCAAACCCCAATACTGGACTATGAGCCCATACACGAGAGGCGCTGGGAGTCCCGCGGGTTGCACAAGGTCTGTGAGGGCTGGCCCGGGACAGCGACTGGCCGCGAGGGCTGCGGCTGCTCAGAGCCTGCACAGCCGTGGGGACTAACACCTGCGYGGTGCTTAGAAGTACCAGTCACTTGTTTGATTGCAGGGCTACATAATCCTGTATGGCAAGGATGAAAATGGCACTTCTTATTTATTTTATCACACATGCTCTCTGTCCCTGTAATTCCCAGGTCAAATCCGAGAGTCCTACAGATGCCAACAGGCTGCCCTACGGGAGGGGTCGTGCTGGCTGCGACACCCCSAGACAGGAACAGCCGGTCACTGCAGCGGGAGGGAGGCTTCCTGGAAAGGAAACTCAGGCAGAAGAGACTGAATCAAGTACCTACAATATGGGGGAATTTTCTCTTTTTCTTTCAGGTTTCATCTGCTCCACACAATTTGATGAAGAAGCAAAAGAAAAGAGGGGAAAAAATCTAACAAGAAAGAAAAATGAGATGATAACTGGCATTAATTTGTCATATCTACTCCAAGAATTGAATAGTGAGTAAAGACCATTCATCCCTTAGCTACTTGGACTCCATTTATAGTTCATGGCATGTGTGAGCTAATCTTAAAATATATCAGTAGGTTGCTCAGTTGTCAAAAGCTTCTGAATTTTTTAAAATAGCAGATCTATTTCAGTAGTGCAAATGGCTGTGAACAGATTAAATCACACCTTTCTACCAATTCTTAGCTTGCATATCTTTTTTAGGCTCGTAAGAATGTTTTTCACAGCATCTTCTTAAACAGTACAGTTATTTTTTTCCCAAGAACAGAGCACATTCAGAAATTTGTTGGCACACATTGTCATCGTAACATTTGGTTAATTACACATTATTAAATATGGTATTATCTGTTTTGACTCCTTCTGAAAGATAAATAAAAACAGATAATTTGATGTGTGGAACAGTAGGAAAAAAATAAAAAGAAATATTTATACATTATTTTTTCCAAATGCAAAAGCTATGGAAGTTTTTACACAGGTATCTTGCACTTGGAAATGAGTGCAAGATGCAGTGCATTTGGCTTCCTTCTACATAAGGGGTTAGAGTGAGTTACTCCACAGCATAATTTCATGTGTGCTAGGACAGACCTAATCTTGTTAACTGCAGATTTGCTGGGGTTTCCGTAGGAAACTGCAGAGATGCAAATTGCTTCTGCCTGAATTAAACGGACCCATTCTAATCGCAATTCCCTTCCTCTGCGTTAATCTGTGATTTCACAGATCTGATTGCTTGTATTTTCTGAATGGGACTTCCTGGATACTTATGCTCAGAAAATAGTTTTACCTATATTTTACCTAGGAAAACTCAGGAATTTAGCACCACATAAACAGTTGTTTTGGTCTCTGATGGACATCTCCCTCTCTACCAGGTACCTAGGGGTTGCGAATCCCATTCTGAGCTGCTTAGCTCTTCCTGATTCACCTACAATTTATGTAATAGTTGAGCATGAATAACCTGCTTTGCTTTCCTTTTTCTTTAATTGCTATAATTCTGCCATATTCTTCTATCTGTGAAAAAATATATTAGCTTTCCTCCCTCCCCTTTTTACCAGATCCCAACTTGTCAGACATGAAAAAAAAGACTTAGTGTGAATATATGCACTCCTTTTGGGCTAAAAAACAGCAGTTAAACAAAATTCTGTATTGTGATAATCTGCTCACCAAGACTTTTACTTTTTTATTTTTTTAAAAAGGACTGTCAGTTGGACTGTCATTACTACTCTTATTTCTTAAAGGAATCTGATTTTTTATGTTTTTTTTTTTTAAGTACCCTCCTGCTTTGCTACAACAGAGAGTAAGAGTGATAATAATGAAACTCATATTGTTCAGACTGTTTTGTTTTAATGACAGGAGTGCTGAGAGCCTGGTCTTTTCCTCTATTTATAGTGCTCCCTACCCTGTCATATGCAATAGGCTGCTCTGAACATGGGCTCTGCTGTTTGATGGTGATTTTGATTGCACTGTTTGGCAGATAGTGCATAATGTGGCATGGAGGAGATCAACAGCATTTAATTTCACTTAAAATTACTTTTGCTCTAAATGAGATAGGACTCATTTATTCTACTGAAAATCATTTGACTTTTTGTGCCCTGCACAAAAAAATAAAATATTTTCTCCCTGCAAGGAAATTGTTGACAGACTCTCTTGCTAGGTTTGTTTAAGAACCAGCTCTCGAAGCACCCACCCTGCCACTTGATTTTGGAGTGTCTGGGGAATGGGGTACTCCAGTTCAAGAACAAACATTTTAGTTGCACTTAGAAATGGGTGAAAAAAACCCAGTCACCTTCACATTTCCCTTTAAAAATTCTCTTCACTAGCAACAACTCCAGGAATGTGGGTGCGGAGGCCAAGAGCTTCTTGCTTCACTTCACCTCTAAGAGCAAAACCCTGTGCTCATTCCGCATTCCCAAATGAGGGCCAAGTCCCTGTCCATGCTGAGCAGGATTTGGAAGGAATCCACTCCCACGTCCATTTAGAAGCTTTASGGGGAGAATGAAGGTAATGCTATCATGCTTTGGTGAAAACTGGACCTCTGAATTTTATTAGTTGTTACTAYAATTTATAAAGATGAGAAAATGAGTTTATTTTGGGTTTTTTTTAAAGAGGATTTCATGTTTTAAGTGATGCACATTAACTCTGCTCCTCCTTGATTATGTTGAAGCAGCAGTTGAAGGCTTAATATTTTCAT